TTTCCCCTACACCATACAAAAGCAGCAACAAAACTAGAACCCAGATCTACTGAATCCCGCCCCAGTGCACTAGCTGCTGAGCCAGTCCTTCTCAATTACAATGTGAGCAGAATCTCATCTAAAATAAACTCATCTGCCATGAATTGCATACTGTGCACTGTATGCACCGAACAGTTTCATGTTAATAATACCTGAAAATATTCTCTTTTTACAAGGCTCTGTTTGGGTTGATTGCTGTTTGTACAGTGACCCTAGCTGGGATCATATGCAGACCCATTCTTCCTCCCCTCTCCTCCTCCCCCCCACTCTCATCCTGCTTTCAGTTCCTTTTCCCTTTTGCTTTTTAAAACATTTTTGTTGTTGTTTCTAGTTCTGAGATTGGTTCTATTTATTGCTTTTGAATTATATTGAGGGAGGGGGGTTTAACTGCACTCATTTACTGTTATTACATTGTGAGTCGTGTACGAGGCAAGCCCCCTGGTACAAGAGGAAGATGGAAGAGTGCTGGGTAAACAACATCATAAAAGGAATCAGGGCCAAATTCTGTGCAGCCATACAGACTGTGCAGGCCCCGTTTGGTCAGGTATTTCATGGCCTGCCCTTTCTGCTCTCTAATTTGTATTTATGCAAGATGATACCAGATTGGAACAGTAGCATCATACAGCTACTTTCTGCAGCTGTAAACGGGTGGCATCAATCTCCTCCAGGCAAAGTGTGTGTGTGCGCGTGCGCGGGGGTGGGGTGTGGTTCCGACTTGGGGCAGCCAGCCTGGCGTGTGCCATGTCATCCCCCCCAGGCAGCCCTCAGCCCTCTTCAGAGCGCACAGCACTCCAGAGGTGATTTAAAGTGTCCAGGGCTCCGGCTCATTGGTGGGCCTGGCTGTAAATGATGCCAAGGCACAAGGATGTGGAGAAATAAATCTACTGCTATCAATGAACATGTAAAGCTTGCAAGCTGGCTCTGAATTTGACAAAAATACTGAAGGTCCAATCATAACAACACCTATCCTAAAAAATAAATGATAGAGTACCAGTAATAGTAATCAACACCCAGCTGATGGGAATATCTCAGCCAGTCTATGCATGCTTCTTGCCTTCATGCTTTGTTCCAGATGCAGTAAGTGCAGATAAACCTATCTTTTTTAGAATGTATTATATTTTGTTGGCTCAGGCCTGGAGGCAGGTTTGTCTAGGGTACAGTGTGCATGTATAAAACGTTTATCTCATTATTATCCTACAGTTTCCTCTCTCTCTCCCCATCCTTCCAAATGGAGTCAAGATAGAAGCACTTATGAGGCTTTAAATAAAGACGATCTCTATTTTCACATTTATACCGCAAAATAAGATGTGCTTCTTCTGGTGGCAGGGTCTAGAGACAACAAAATGCTAGCCAACCTTCTCTTTCCCACAGAACAGTAAATATAAGAATAGATCTAGGCCTTACCTTGTTAGAATAGTTTCTTTCCGATGGGCACTGCTGATGGCTGCTGCTGTAATTCCACCCAGCCTCCTGTAAGATGTCAGGGGTCTGCCGTCTGGCCTGCCGTGACACAATAAAGTGAACCCGCTTCTCACTGGCCTATATGACAAGACACAGATGTAAATCCTGCTGTTTGGCAGCTACAAAGCCAATCTTTTCAGTGCTAGAAATTCACAAAGTCCAGGTCTTAGGTAAGCTCGCTGTTATTTTCATTTTCTTTTGTGGTATTTTGGTGAATTGAAGGGCAAATCTTTCCTGTGCCTCCACCCTTCTTATCAGCTTGTTACAAGAGAAAACAGTAATTTAAGTTCAACTCAGTACAACAAAGAGTGCACAATTTAAGTTAATCCTCTAAGCCCTGGCCTACACTAAGGAGTTATTTTGAAATAACCGCCCTTATTTTGAAATAACAAAGCGGAATGTCCACACTACCAAGCCTGTTATTTCAAAATAAGGGACTGGTTATTTCGGAATAACAACTCCTGTTTTGCATGAGGAACAACACTTATTTTGAAATAGTTATATCAAAATAGTGTTAGTACAGACACTGTACTGCTGCTATTTTGAAATAACTCCTCCCCAGAGTCAAAGGAATTACTCCCCAGTGCTTCCTGGGGCTCTAAGTTGACACATTAAGGGAACCTGCCTTGGACTAATTTCAAGGCTTCTGTCTAGTGTGGACACACTATTTTGAAATAGTAATTTTGGGAGTTATTTCATTTCAAAATAATTTCCTAGTGTAAACATGCCCTAAAGACTATTTTCATGCATTTAGAATTTCCCTTGAATTAACAATCTGACCACACGATAATGCTGCACAGTTCTTGCTTTTAGACATTTATTCTATTCACTGGTGTACATTAGCACAGCTAAGTAGTGTCTCGTGGTTACCTCACAGGTATAAAACTAGGCCTATTACTGGTCAATGGAGACTGTGGAGGCAATGCTGCTTATGATGGAATGCTCATCTGAGGGGGCCAGTGGCAGGATTTCATTCAGTAGTATGGCGAACATCATTCATGTAGTTTTACTTAGAAAAGGGGCCATGCTACTATTTTGAACAATATAATCTTAACAGATTAGGGTAATGAGGAGGCAGCATGGACCAAACACAGAACTGAGAACCAGACAGGGAAAGATTAATTCACAATGCCCATATGCTGTGTAGAGTCTAGATAGATCAGTTGGAATGGGTACACTGCATGTGGCAGTGGTGCATGTTGCTTCACCAGTATCCCAACCTTAACATGGAGAAGACAAACAGATGTGTGTGTGTGTAGTCTTGGCCTCATTAACAAGGCTGAAAATGAATGGCATGGTTGTTTTTTGTGATGTGGACATTTGTTCACTAGGAACTAAAGCCCCACAATTTCCCACAGAAAGAATTGCCCAGGGAGGTTGTGGAATCTCCATCTCTGGAGATATTTAAGAGTAGGTTAGATACACGTCTATCATGGATGGTCTAGAAAGTACTGGGTCCTGCCACGAGGGCAGAGGACTGGACTCGATGACCTCTCAAGGTCCCTTCCAGTCCTAGTATTCTATGATTCTAATTCTCCTATGGGCCTGGGCTATTAGATTTTGTAGGACCCTTGTATACAAGTGCTTTTTCCTAATTTAAAACAAAATTATCACAATTAGTATGTAAATTGTTGTTTCAATTGAGCTCTCTCTGTTGCTTGTTTTTCCCCAGCTCCTCCACAGCCATTCATGACCAGACAAGATGTAAAGATTCATGCATTTTACTTTTAGCTTTGTTTCTGTATTGAGCATAAACTGTAGCATAAAGAAACTACTAAGGTCAGATCCTTTCTAATGACAAACCAAGGTGCATGTCTGCACGCACATGCGCGCACACACACACACACAGGGATCAAGGTGTCTTAACACTGTTACACTAGCCTCATTCTGGGCCTGCTTTGCACAGTGTATTCCCTCCTGCACTGCACTAGAGGAGCCAAAGGGCTGCTCTAATTACACTGCACTGCTCTGCAATAGTCAAACTTATTATTTTTATATTCCACCCCTAGATGCCTCAGTTGAGATGAGGCTACATTGGGTGCTCTGGCAGCAATTTAAAGGGTCCGGGGTTCCAGCTGCCACAGTTGTTACAGTAGTGGCAGCAGCTAGGAGCTCAGGGCCCTTTTGTATTGCCACGCCCTTGAGCAATTACTCTTCCCACCTCCACATCCTCCTTCTGCAGGCCTCTAGATGATCCATCCTGATCATAGGGTGTTGGGGAAAATGTGCAAAGTCCTAAATCCAAGTTCTGTAATTCATGCACATCCCTAATTACTTCCTTCTTGTTTTCTCCATTCCAGCTTTTGTGACTGATGAGTTTATAACAGCCAGACACCCAATCTACTGATTAACAAGTACTTAATATGTGCTAATATCTAACTGCTAGGACTGATGAGTCAGATCTCTCTCAATTATCCATCATTTAGGAGCCAAATCTAATCAGGCTCTACAGAAACCTGATTTTCTCTCAGTTTTATTCAGTGCAATGAGTCAGGAAAGTAAAGATATAGGACAAGATAATAAAAGGATAATCATCACCACCCATCACTTGTGATATATAATTCTTTACAAATGTTAATTAAGGTTATTTATATTTTAAAATTAATCCCATATTTTGAACTTCCTGTGCTATTATTTTTTTTTGGTTCCTTATCTAACAAATGTCCTACATTTGAGTCTTGGCAGGTGGAGCATGGTTGAGAAAGCAGATGAAGTATTGTGCTGTGTAAAAAGCAGATGCAAAACATTTGTGGCCTCTATAATCGTTCTCCTCTGAAATAATGTGGAAACAAGCAAGGAGATTTATGAAAAACATGACAAAAAGGACACACAGTCTGGGAATTCAGTGTTAGGCAACCATGATTCATGGAGCTCACATCAATGCAATGTAATCCTGGCCTGTTTGGAAACATGAGTCAAAGTCTTTGATAGGCATGTTGCTTAAATCTCCAGAGGCTGCTGTACGTTTCAAGTATTTATATAAATAACACCCATTCCGTGGCACTAGTAGGCGCTTTAGTTGTGATTTTAAACGTTAGCATGAATGGTCTCATTAGTAATTTTTTCCATCTCTTTCCAAAATGCAGTGTGTGTTTTCTGCGTATGAAGCATTGTTGCTTTGTTTTTTAAGCATAAAGAAATGTTCCAACACCACCACATTTTCATGAGGGTTCCATTTCATTCGTTGCTTTCTCCAGAGAGCACTCCCCCCCACTTTTGTATTAGTAAGTTACACAAGGAAAACCAGAGCATGACTCAGTCAGGATTCCAACAACTCACAGTAGGCAAGATGATGTAGAATCTCATTCCCCAGCTAGAATGTACTCTACTTAGAGAAGGCTGACTATGGAACCCAGTGAGAAACAGCTGAGTAAATGAACATTTTCTAGCTCGGCTAGAGATTTTCAATACACACTGATCACTGGACCCCATAAATCTATGCTAAAAATAAGCCTGTTAAAAATAATATGCACAATATGCAGAGCTGAAGTCTTTTCTCAGCCAAGCCCATGTTACCTTACTGAAGTCAGTAGGCTTATGCAAAGGACAAAGGGGCGAATCTGGCCTGATCTGTTGTCTTTGTCTTTCTACATGTAAAATGCTTCCATTTACATATATGCTATACCACATCACACAGAATAAGCACAGCGACTCTGTCATAAACGATGACCAGAGTGTTGGAAGTTCAGATCCAAGAATACATAAGAAAAGGAGGGCAGGAAGGGGAGAAGAAAAAAAATTGAAGGGGAGGAAGAAAAAAAAGACAGTGGCTTCTCTATGTTTTTTTTTAAAACTTATTGATTATTCAAGAGTTCAAGAACATTGAATTAGTTACTTAAAGTGGGCTTTGTCTTTCAGCCAAAGACAATCATAAATGCAAGATTTAACAGTAAATCGCTCTCGGTTGTTTTGCTGGTAACACTGCAAAAAGAAAAAGGAAAGGACTGGGTCTCAAAGAAAGACCAATCCAAATGGCTGTGTGGAAGGTCTAGAGGATTTGGAAAGAAATCAGGTTGGTAGTGGGGAGATGAGTTTAGGCAACTGAAAGTCTATTTGGTTTGGTAATTTTGATGGGGCGCCTAGTTCCTTTGATAGTTGCCTCTTTTAATTCTTAGTCGGTATGTAAACAATTGATCTAATCTAAACAAATCTTCCCTTAAGTGCTTCCATCGCCCCTTATCTGTCCAAAGAGTTGTAGTACTGAGCACATCAGCATGTCTGGCATCCAACGAGTTAACAATCCTATTGCTGACATGCAGAATACGCAAAGAGATTAAATCTAGTTTAAAATATAACTAGGTCTCTTGAATAATCTTGTATACATGGATGATGTCTGCTATTTTCATGGAGTTCTTCACCAATGTGAGCAAAATTCTGCTTTCATTTTCACCCATGTTCCCTTCCTAAAGGCAGTGGGGTTGCACAGGTTTAAGTGACAGCAGAATCTGGCCCATGGAGTTACCCTATAACTTGATATGGCTCAGAGTGTCATAGCATTGGATGGAGAAATTGGGCTTTTTCATTCTAGTTAATGGAGTTCAGAAATGGGGGTCAAGTCATCATGACAAACCTGTATCAGCTGGGCTGCATTTTCTGGACTGCCGTACCGAAGATCATGCCCATTAATAGCTAACACTCGGTCATTTTCTTGAAGCTGTCCACCGCGGGCAGCCACACCTCCTTCCAGCAAGTTGAAAATAAATACCCCAGGTTCATCTGCCTTGCGGACCAGTTTTATTCCCAGATACTCATCTGGGCTACCTTTGTTTAGAACCACGTGAAAACTGTCATCCCTGCTGTAGTGAGCATCAGGAGAAAGTCCGTTGTTTCGGGATCGGTACCTCTGCTCTCTGAGTACAGTCAGTCGGAGTACCTGACACGGCTGCTTCAGAACTGACAGGGCATAGTTGTGAGGAACATTATTGATGTCCATGCCATTCACCTGGAAAAGAGAACCATAAATCAGCAACGTAAAGAAGCAGATAATCTGAACTGGCACTGTAGACAGCTGATCTATTTATACAGATGTTTCCATGTTAACTGACGTGCAGTATTTGAAATGGTGTCACACAAGAGCCAAGTTTTTATTATTAAGTATGCTTCCCCCAAGGAGAGGACACAGCATACAGACACTTACTGTCTTTCCCCCCTTCTCTCTAATTGTCTCCAGACATAACTGTTATTTTTCAGTTTATTATTGCCCCTCCCCCTCAGGCCCCAAGATCCTTTTGTGTATTTATTTCACTGGTTTCAGATTTCAAACCATCTTCCCAGCTACCCTTCCTCCTACTCCCACTCCTTTTCTGCAGTGTCCTTGTTCATTACTTCATTACCATTGTGGTTAGACAGTAGACAGTCTGTATCCCCAATTTCCTACCTCACAAAAAAAAAAAAAAAAAAAAAAAAAACCCCACACCAAAACAAAAAAAAAAAACTTCTAATTAAAATGGGGAGGAGAAAGTCCTGAGTAGTTTTAGTTCGCTGTGGTCCAGAATCTCAGCTTAAAACAATGCTGATTTACATCAGCCAAGGAATTAATCTTTCATAGTTCCCTATTTTTCCTAGGTAGAATCATTCATATTTCTTTCAAATGACTTCAGACAAAGAACTTTAATTCAACTGTGTAATTTTTGTTTTGTAAAACTGAATGGCTATTGAACTTTACCCTTGCTAAATGAAAAAAATATTTGCAGGTTTTTAAATTGTTGGAGGAAAAAAACAAACTAGACAACAACCTCTATGTATTTTACATTATAATAGCCAAGCCATTTAAATACAGGCAGTCCCCGGGTTACGTACAAGATAGGGACTGTAGGTTTGTTCTTAAGTTGAATCTGTATGTAAGTCAGAACTGGCTGTCAGTTTCAGCAGCGACTGAATCTGGACGCCAGTTCCGACTTACATACAGATTCAACTTAAGAACCTAGACAACAACCTCTATGTATTTTACATTATAATAGCCAAGCCATTTAAATACAGGCAGTCCCCGGGTTACGTACAAGATAGGGACTGTAGGTTTGTTCTTAAGTTGAATCTGTATGTAAGTCAGAACTGGCTGTCAGTTTCAGCAGCGACTGAATCTGGACGCCAGTTCCGACTTACATACAGATTCAACTTAAGAACCCCAAGCGTCC